ACAGAAACCAGTGGGAGCTCACCTTGAGGACAGCAAGAGTTTGGTCTAGTCCAGTTACTGACCCAAGGAATGAGGAAGGGAAGGGCTGCACCATCCAGTGTTTGGTGGGGGAAAGGCCCTACATTGGGTAGAGTGAAGATGACAAAGTCCATGAAGTTTCTTCCCCAGGTCCCGGGGATACGGAGATTAGTTACAGCCCGAAAGTGGCTAGAGCCTAGAGATAAGAGCTGGAAACTCTGACTCAGATCCTGCTCTCAGTTACACTGGTGTAAACTGACCCCACTGGAGGCTGGAGTCACTTCATTTTTAACTCTGAGCAGAATCTGGCCTCTGTGATCCCATTGATCCATCTCAGCCCTGGCAGTGCCATCAGCTCCGTGCACGGGGAGGGACTGAGAGCTGCCAGAGGATATTACAGGAGAGGGGATGAGGGTCCCTGGTTCTGCACCGTTTGGATTGGTCCCCTGGGATCGTTCTCTGCCTCAGCTGAGCAGTCATCGTCCCCAGATGAAACGTTTTACAGGAAATATTTCCCGCTGTTTCCACAGATAAATGTGATGTTCTTTGCCCCGACCATGTGGATCTTGAGAAACAGACTCTCCCCCCCTCAGCGCAGATGTGTCCACTCTCAAAGACCACCATTGCAAAGGCAACAAAGCAATCCTGGAGGGTCAGATGCCTTGGTTTGGAAGTTCCTTGGCCTGCAGAGGGAGTGGGAGATTGCAGGAGGGGAACAGCATATCTAGGATCCATGGGAACGAATTCCCAGTGTGTTTGCGTTGACAGTAACCCTGTTCCACACAGGAAAGCAGGTGCCAGTAACTCCACCCTACTCTGCCCAGATCCTCCTACCCAATTGCTCTCCATAGGGTTATTGTAATGGGATCTCTCCATCTGTCTTTATCCAGGTTACTGACCTTTAAAGCCATCGCCCAGCTCTTCATTCTGGGCTGCACATGGAGTCTTGGTCTCCTCCAGGTCGGCCCAGCAGCCACAGTCACGGCGTATTTATTCACCATTGTCAACAGCCTGCATCATCTGGTCATCTTCCTGGTGGACTGTCTCCTCAATCATCAGGTAACACCCACGGCCCGTCAGCGCCCACCCAGCACCTTCACCGGCCTCGCGGTGGCCATGTCTGATCTCAGCATTAGTTACATAGTGCAGTGACTGTGTCCCTCACTCTCCAGGTGAGAGAGGAGTACAGGAGATGGATCAAGGGATTCTGAACGTCCAGCACGAAATCTCAGACATCCGATCTATCCATGTCTGCTGTCCCCACCACCAGCACCAAGACGGCTAGAGGTCCTCTGCTCTGTTCCAGTACCAGCCTGTGAAAGAGTCATCTCTAGCTGGGTCTCATTACTGCTCTAACGGTACTTTGTCCCCTGAGCGAGCCAGGATTTGTTATAAGCCAGCTGGGAATGTCATTAAGAGTGTTAGTCAATCGCATCCTGATTGAGGGGTATCCTACATGTCTTAGGCATCAACACCGAACGCTCCTTTCCTAGCAGCTCCACATTCCCTCCCCTTGTCTCCCCTGAGAACTCTATTGGTCATTGATTGTCGACTGTGTGTGTGTTGTTGGCACTTGCAATGTAATGAGCTGGACGTATTGGATCAGGATTGTCTCCTGGGACTGAAACCTTGTCAGTCCAGATGTGTACGGGGAGATTTTGGCAAACCAGTAAAGTGCCTGAAACCACTATGGCTTATTGCTAAAAGCAACCTAGTCAGCAGGCTGTAAAGTGGCCATGCAGCCTGACCAAGGCAGGAGGGGAGGGGGGTTGGGGTGCCACAGAAAGGGCAGCTTGACCCCATGTCCTTCCTGATAAGAATTGTGTTGAAGTTGCTGATACATGCATTTTAGGAGAGCAGGATGTGCCCCAGGAATGTCTATTGGGGCCTCAAGGCTGCAAACTCTGGAAAAACCCACACCGGGTTAATCAATAATCAGAAGGAACCTCTTGCCTGACCATTGAAACTGCTTACTGAACAAGTTTTCTTTAAGAGACGTGTATCAGAGGGGTAGCCGTGTTAGTCTGAATCTGTAAAAAGCAGCAGAGGGTCCTGTGGCACCTTTAAGACTAACAGAAGTATTGGGAGCATAAACTTTTGTGGGTAAGAACCTCACTTCTTCAGATGCATGTCTTTAAGAGACATGTCATTCTATTACTAATGTATAAATAAGGGGGGAAAGTTTGAGGTAGTTGGACTCTTTTGGACTCTCCCTCTGGATACATCTTGCGGTCCCCACTGGCAGACGGAAGATTTGGCCACTGGAAGCTTGCCGCTGTTTCACTTGAGAGCCACACTCCGCTTTGGTAATTATCAAGGGTTGGGGGTGTTTTACTAACCTGTTGCGGATGTGTGTAAATGCTTGAGACTAAGTAAAGTTTAGCTTTAAGTGAAAGCACTGTTGGGTTGTCCTGTTTGTGCCAGCCATCTAGCGGTCGGACGGCCGTGTCTCCCCTGATTTGTTTCCTGACACCACCTCGCACAGTGTAAAAGTTATCAAGAGCTTTGGGTTGAAAGAACCCCAGGTAACAGATGGACCTTGCCCAGTGAGCAGTCAGCACTTCGAGGAATATCCTTTAGGTCCTTTACCCGTATTGAGTAAGGATCCAGGAGCTTCGATTTTTGTCACCAATTTGTACATGACGCTCACAGGGGCTTCAGACCCCATCATCATGTTGCTGCTTTTCTTTCCAGGAATGAAGAACATGGAGGAAAAGGGCAGATTCTTGTGTCTGACACACCTCCCTGCTCCAGTCCAGCACCAGACACTGAAGCCTTTGCATGGAAGACAAAATTGTTGCTTTATTGAAAACAGCTGATAGCTGCTACTTGTTGGTTTATCTGTGTGTGAGGTGGGAGCTGGGGAAGAGAGAGGACTCTGTCTCTGCTGAGCATGATAAGCCCTCTTAGAACCCCACCAGGAGCTGGACCAGTCCACATTTCTGACAGGAGGTGCATGTGGGGGAACAGACAATTCCCTGGAGTGTTAGTAGCAGGTACAGATGGAGCACATTCACCATCACCTCCAGCTAATATGTCAGACGTGTTAGTCATGTAAAAGGGGAGATGTTTTGTTGGAGGCAGGAGGACAGTTTTATCGACAGGTCAGTTAAAGCAGGATGCACAGCTCCTGAGCTTGGAGGAAATCCATGAACCTATTAAGTTTGAATCTGATGAGGACATCTGGTGAGGAGGCAGAACCTGAATCCACCATGAGGATGAGGAATGGCGCCAGGAGCACGTTTGCAATTGGTGAACCTTTTGCCCTTCACACAGATTGGCTCGGAGTCTTGGTTAATCTTAACGCACATGTTCCACACCCAGAATCCATGGGGTGTCTGTGTATATTTTAATGTCATGCACTGCATACCCCTTCCACATATGGGGCAGCTGTGGCAAAACCAAGAACAGACTGCAGATCTGCCATCCCACTCCACAGTCATAGCCACGTGACCATCCTGCAGCTCAAGCAGAGAGCTGAGACCTACATTAATCAACAGTTCATTGTGCAGCTACATCTCAACCCAGCCCCTATTACCGCCAAAGGCCAATGTGCAGTGAAAGAGGTGCAACTTAAATCTGTTTTTAGAAAAACGTACTGAGTTAGGCACACCTCCTTTTTGGAAGTTCACAGCCACTTTTTCTGCAGGTCTTCCAAAGTGAGCAAGACCGCTGCGCTGCCTGATACCCTGAATCTACAGGGACCATTAGGCAACATCTCTTTAGAACGACAAAGCTGATTTTCATCAGCTGAATATCTGAATGGTGCTGAGGAGATAGGAGAGATATGGCAAAAGTCCAACGTCTTAACCAAAAAACCATCCTAAGGCAGCAGAACTGAATTTAGTTCCTGATTCTGCTACAGGCTCCCTATGTGACTTTAGCCAAGTCACCTGATCCCCTGTCCCCCCGCTGCCTAAGGGCTGGTCTTCACTACCCGCCCGGATCGGCTGTAGAAAAATCGATCTTTCAGGGATCAATTTATCGCATCTTGTCGGGACGCGATAATCGATCCCCGAATCAACGCGCATACTCCACCAGCCCAGGTAGGAGTAAGTGCCGTCGACGGGGGAGCCGTGGCGGTCGATTTGCCGCTAAGTCGGATCAGATACGTCGAATTCAGCTATGCTATTCCCGTAGCTAAATTTGCATATCTGAAATCGATTCCCCTCCTCCCCCCGTAGTGTAGACGTAGCCTTACAGGGGTAATAATACTTCTGCTCTCCCACCTTGTGTCCATCTTGTCTACTTAGCTCGTAAGCTCTTTGGGACAGGGATTGTCTGACTATGTATGTACAGCACCAAGCATAGTGGGACTGTACATGCCCAGATAATATAAATAAATACTGGTGAACAGAAGTGGGCTGACACACTTACTGCTCTCAGTTTGGAGAAGTTTCTTATGGAAAGATGACATCAGTGAATTTCATAATGTTTTGGGAAAAGCCCGGTTTGAAAACAAATTTTCTTTTAAAAAAAAGTTGAAGAACATTTAGTGGTGCAGTGACAGCGCTGGAGCTGAAAATCCATGACAGGCCAGGTCCTCAGCTGGTGTAAACTAGTGCATTGTCAGGGATCCTTCTGGGCCTTGGGAAGCAGACAATAGCCATGAAGCAGTGTGCTTCAGCCATACCCTCAGCAGCACCTCCACCCCACCAGTCACAACCTCCATGCCAGGGGCTGGGAGTGGGGCTAATGTAGAGATTTTATGCCAGCTCTACAACAGCCAGGAAGGACTCCTGCACAGGAGGGCTAATCACAGGGCCATTTCTGCCCATGTTAAAGCCCCTTTACACTGCCAGATTGGCATAAAGAGGCTTTAAAATTGGGCCCTAGGTTTCCAGGACAGGCCGACCGTGATAGCAAACCCTCAAACCAAAGAAGCAACCAAGGTTCATAAGCAGGTTATTTTATTATTTACTCATTACATTGAAAAAGCAGAGCTAGCTCACACACATAGCAAGCGAGCACTGTCCCCCGCCCCGCCCCATGGTGTGCTTTCCCCAAGAAATAACTGCTCTCTGACCTGGGATCTGGCCCTTTAAATCTGGGAGAGATACCCAGCTACAACCCTAGGGTGGCTTTTGAATTCAGGAGTTGTGGATTTGGATCAGAGAGAGGATTTAGTCCAATCCGGCTTCCCCTTCCAGGTTGTGTATGCAGTTGCGATGCAGAATGGCGGCTGAAGCACCTGCCCCACTGGCACAGCAAAGCCGGCTGTATGATAAACATCGGTGGTTGGAGAGGTGACTGTTTCACGGAGATGAAGTGGAGGGCTCTCCCCAACTCACCTGCCAGCAAAACAAATATACATTGAGTGTCAATCTCATGGGAAAACTCCAGTCAACGTCAATGGGATCAGGACTGGGGCCTCATTCAGGAATAGTGCAGAGTCTGCAAAATTCAGCCAGCCTCCACTGAAGTGACATCACTTGCAGGAAAATAACTTTAAAAAACTAGACAAAGCCCAATCCCTTCCCCCACCCATGCACAGGTAAGCCATAAAGTAGCAGTTTATAGAATCATAGAACATTAGGGTTGGAAGGGACCTCAGGAGGTCATCTAGTCCAATCCCCTGCTCAAAGCAGGACCAACACCAACTAAATCATCACAGCCAGGGCTTTGTCAAGCCAGACCTTAAAAACCTCTAAGGATGGAGATTCTACCACCTCCCTAGGTAATGCATTCCAGTGCTTCACCACCCTCCTAGTGAAATAGTGTTTCCTAATATCCAACCTAAACCTCCTCCACTGCAACCTGAGACCATTACTCCTTGTTCTGTCATCTGGTACCACTGAGAACAGCCGAGCTTCATCCTCTTTGGAACCCCCCTTCAGGTACCGGAAGGCTGCTATCAAATCCTCCCTCACTCTTCTCTTCTGCAGACTAAATAACCACAGTTCCCTCAGCCTCTTCTCGTAAGTCATGTGCCTCAGCCTCTTAATCATTTTTGTTGCCCTCTGCTGGACTCTCTCCAATTTGTCCACATCCCTTCTGTAGTGGGGGGACCAAAACTGGACACAGTACTCCAGGTATGGCCTCACCAGTGCCAAATAGAGGGGAATAATTACTTCCCTCGATCTGCTGGCAATGCTCCTACTAATACAGCCCAATATGCCTTTGGCCTTCTTGGCAACAAGGGCACACTGCTGACTTGTATCCAGCTTCTCATCTACTTTAATCCCGAGGTCCTTTTCTGCAGAACTACTACTTAGCCAGTCGGTCTGTAGCAGTGCATAGGATTCTTCCGACCTAAGTGCAGGACTCTGCACTTGTCCTTGTTGAACCTCAGATTTCTTTTGGCCCAATCCTCCAATTTGTCTAGGTCACTCTGGACCCTATCCCTACCCTCCAGTGTATCTACCTCTCCCCCAAGCTTAGTGTCATTTCCGGACTTGCTGAGGGTGCAATTCATCCCATCATCCAGATCATTAATAAAGATGTTTAACACAACTGGCCCTAGGACCGACCCCTGGGACACTCTGCTTGATACCAGCTGCCAACTAGACATGGAGCCATTGATCACTACCCGTTGAGCCTGACAATCTAGCCAGCTTTCAGTCCACCTTATAGTTCATCAGGGCTGGCTCCAGGGTTTTGGCCGCCCCAAGCAGCCAAAACCACAAAAAAAAAAAAAAAAAAAAGCCACGATCACGATCTGCGGCGGCAATTCGGCGGGAAGTCCTTCACTCCGAGCCGGAGTGAGGGACCGTCCGCCGAATTGCCGCCGAATACCTGCACCTGCCGCCCCTCTCCGGAGCGGCCGCCCCAAGCACATGCTTGAGAAGCTGGTGCCTGGAGCCGGCCCTGGTTCATTCATCCAATCCATATTTCTTTAACTTGCTGGCAAGAATACTGTGGGAGATCGTATCAAAAGCTTTGCTAAAGTCAAGATATATCACATCCACCACTTTCCCCATATCCACAGAGCCAGTTATCTCATCATAGAAGGCAATCAGGTTGGTCAGGCATGACTTGCCCTTGGTGAATCCATGCTGACTGTTCCTGATCACCTTCCTCTCCTCCAAGTGCTTCAAAATGGATTCCTTGAGGAATTGCTCCATGATTTTGCTGCGGACTGAAGTGAGGCTGACCAGTCTGTAGTTTCCTGGGTTCTCTTTCTTCCCTTTTTAAAATCTGGGCACTATATTTGCCTTTTTCCAATAGTCTGGGACCTCCCCCGATCACTACGAATTTTCAAAGATAATGGCTAATGGCTCTGCAATTGCATCAGCCAACTCCCTCAGCACCCTTGGATGCATTAGATCTGGACCCATGGACTTGTGCATGTCCAGCTTTTCTAAACAGTCCTTAACCTGTTCTTTCACCACTGAGGGCTGCTCACCTCCTCCCCATACTGTCTTGCCCAGTGCAGCAGTCTGGGAGCTGACCTTGTCTGTGAAGACGGAGGCAAAAAAAGCATGGAGTACTTCAGCTTTTTCCACATCTTCTGTAACTATGTTGCCTCCCCCATTCAGTAAGGGTCCCACACTTTCCCTGACCTTCTTGTTGTTGCTAACATACCTGTAGAAACCCTTCTTGTTACCCTTCACATCCCTTGCTAGCTGCAACTCCAATTGTGCCTTGCCCTTCATGATTACACCCCTACATGCTCTAGCAATATTTTATACTCCTCCCTAGTCATCTGTCCAAATTTCCACTTCTTGTAAGCTTCCTTTTGGAGTTTAAGCTCACTGAAGATTTCACTGTTAAGCCAAGCTGGTCGCCTGCCATATTTGCTATTCTTTCTGCAGATTGGGATGGTTTGTTCCTGCGCCCTCAATAGACTTCTTTAAAATACAGCCAGCTCTCCTGGACTTCTTTACATATCAGTTCTCTAGGGGAGTCTAAGTCTGCTTTTCTGAAGTCCAGGGTCTATATTTTGCTACTCTTTCTTCCTTTTGTGAGGATCCTGAACTCAACCATCCCATGGTCACTGCTGCCTAGGTTGCCACCCAGTTCTACCTCCCCTAACAATTCTTCCCTGTTTGTAAACAGCAGGTCAAGAGGAGAACGGCCCCAGTTAATAGAGGCTGCTCTAAATAAACCAGAAATGTCCACTTCCAGACAAAGGTTATGGCATCTCATGCTGGGACTGGAGCAGGGAGGTTTTTCCAGATATAAGACTTCACTTTTCCCTACAGACAAAACTTCTGGATCCTTTCCCAGTAGAGGTAATGGAGCCAGAGGAAATTCCATCCAGTTCTAACTCTTCATTGGGGATGGCCCATCTGCACTGACAAGATTTCCACCCAGGTTTTGTTTGCAAGCTTCCCCATTTGGATAGTTACCTGAATGTGTGTCAAAGCCAACGCCTTCCCAGCTCATTCCATAGCGAGTGATGAATGGAGCTTGCAAAGAAGCAAAGGGAAGGGAACGTGGAGGTGCACAAGAAAGGAGAAGTTCTGTGCTGGGGTCTAGGAGACATGGGATTCCCCTTTGATTTGGATGCAACTGAATCTCACTAAGACTCCCAATGCTGTTCTCAGATGGATAAAAACACTCAGGGGACAAGGCACCTCAGGAGCTACAACAGACCCAGATGGATGTGACTTTTGGATGCTGGTATTGGAACAGAATAGAGGATCTCTTACCATCTTGGTGCTGGTAGTGACAGCGGACACGGATAGACTAAAATTTTGAGTTGTGGGGCTGGGTTTTCTTGTGCTTTTAATCCATCTCCTGTACTCCTCTCTCACCTGGAGAATAAGGGACATGGTCACTACATCATGTAACTAACACCCTCAGACCAGGCCACTGCTAGGCCCGTGAAGTCACTGGGTGGCTGATGACGCGCCAGGGGCATTACCTGGCGATTGAGGAGACAGTGCACCAGGAAGATGAAGGCTCCCTGCAGGCTGTTGACAATGGTGAATAAATACGCCATGACCATTTTTGCTGAGCCGACTTGGAAGAGACCAAGACTCCATGTGCAGCCCAGAATGAATAGCTGGGCGATAGCTTTAAAAGTCAGTAGTCTGGATAAAGGCAGACGGAGAGATCCTGTTAGAACGACCTTGTAGTGACTGAGTCAGGGGGCTCTCGGCAGTGTGGGGGAAAACAGCTGGCACCCACTTTACTGTATCTTAGGGTTACTGTCAAGACGAACACAATGGCAACTTACGCCTATAAATCTCAATTACAATATTGTGCCCAACCATCATCCCCCAACACACACCTTCCCCTCCCACAGGTGGCTCTTCCAAAGCAAATGGTTCAACCTCTCATTACGTGCATGCCACACTCTGAATGTGCCGCAGGACTTACTGCAAGAACCTCACTGATCTAGCAGTCTCTTCCATACCATTACTTCCACTGACTTCCGCGGGCTTTGGAACAGACTGCAACTGTCATCTCAATATCCATCCAGGGACCAACATGATGCACATGGCAGAAAAGTATCTCCCATGAGGATCCTTTACTGCCATAGACTCTCCTCTCCTCTCTCCTAACCTGAGCCTTCAATTGCCACCCTGGCTGTGCTGTGTCTAATTTAAGGTCCAAAACAGCATACCCTTATTCATGCAAATTGTCCTTATTTTGGCAGATGGTCCCGTGATGTGAATTTATCAGCTCCTTGGGCAGTGAGACTGTTACTCTCTCATCGAGCAGAAAGTCGCCAAGATAACCTGGAAACCCTACAGTGGCATGTGCTCAGCTGTATGGTGGCAGCAATCTGTGGGGAATCCCACAGGAATTCCCATACAGGAGGCTCACTGGACCCTTCTAGTAGATTTAGTGCTGTCCTACCTGGTGTCTTTGAGAGTGGACACATCTTCATTAAGGGAGGAGAGTTTGTCTCTCAGGATCCAGAGGGTTACAAGAAAAAATGTTAAATTTATCTGTGGAAACAGCATGAAATATTCCTTGTAAAACATGCCAGCCAAGGCCAATCTCTCTGGGGTGAGACTGCTGCACACCAGTGACTGCTCTCTGGGTCATACACCATCCCCTGCCAGATCTTGATCCCAGGCTGTGCAGGGAACTATTGGCATAGGCAGGGCTGCAATGCATCACATGTGATCCTACAGCCACAGGGCCACATTCTGCTCTTATCTGAATCTGGAGTGACTCCACTGATTCCAATGGAGTCTGCAGTTATTCCAGATTTAGTGCCATGTGATTTGGCCCAAAGCTTCTAGATCCCGTCTATAGAGTATTCCCTTCAATTCTGAGACTGCAATTAATTCTTAATCCGCTGCCTGAGATGGGGAGGAATCTGCAAGGACATTTACTACCTTTATCCCTTACAACGCATGCACCCTTCCTGCAACACATGTACCCTTCCATCCTCAAACTCCCCACGCTGCATCCACCTTCCCTTCCCCCATCACTTGGATTATTTACCGGCCAGGCTGGACAAGGCAAGGGACAAAACTATCCTCATTCCGGCAGAGGTCCCACTTCCTTCCATGGCAGCATTGCATTAGTAATGACATATCATAATTATTATTAATCATATTATGGTAGCACCCAGAGGCTCCAGCTGAGACTGCACTGGGTTCTGTACTCACACCTAGAAAGGGGCAGCTCCTGTCCTGAGCATTTGTTTGCAAAATAACTAGGCAAGACCACAGGCACCAGCTTCCCCGAGCCCCAGAGTGCTCAACACCCTGCTCAGCCCCAGGCCCGACCCCCACCTGACCCCTTCTCCCAAGTCCCCACCCCACCTCTTCCCACTCCCGTTTGTTCCCAGCCCCGCCACCACCCCCACCCCACCCTTCTCCAAGCCCCTGCCTCTTCCCACACAGTTCTGCCCCCTTCCTCCCAGCTCCTCTTGCACACCACAGAACAACTGATTGCGGCAGTGGGATGGAGGGGAAGGAGTTGATCAGTGGGGCTGCTGGCAGGCAGGAGGCACGGAGCAGGTAGTGAGGGAGCTGGCTGCCAGTGGGTGCTGAGCATCCACTAATTTTTTTCGGTGCCTATGGGCAAGACAGACATAGGGTGGGAGGAGAAACAGAGGTACAGCGAGGGGAAGCTACTTCCCAAGTTAACACAGCAGGCCAGTGGCAGAGTCAGGTCTCCTGACTCACAACCCAGGGCCCGACCCATTCACCCTGACTGCCTCCATAGAATGTAGGCTGTTGTGTTAGGGGGAAATCCTGCACTGGCCAAAGAGGGGTGGATGAAATGGGATCTTATAGGATCCTTTCATCTTAAATTCTCTGGGAGATATTCTTCTCTTGGCTCCACTGGAGTCCACAGGGTTGCAGAGGTGAGAGGAGAATGGGGCCCTGTGGTTCTGTGAGGTACCCACCAGGATTATGGCACAGACTGGTCCCAGGAAGCTCCAAATAAAGCCTCTCTCCAGGTTGAGCCAGCAGCTAAAGGGAGGAGAGATGTAGAGGTACAGTGACATTAACATGAATTCTTTAGTACTTTTGGCTGCTGGGGTAGAGAAGCAGATTGTTCCAGGGTAAATATAGATTCAAAGGGAATTGCTCAAAAGTTCTGGAGTGTCTCAAAACCACATTCTGATTTTAGAGGGCCTGAAATCAGTGGAGTTACTCCATATTTACACTAGTGTAAGTGCTCTAGTGCTCAGATGCTACAGTGACTGGCATGGAATAGGTGTCTTCATGGAGAGAGAGAGAGAGAAAAAGGAACAGAGTCTGGACAGCTATGTCCCAGGGTGCTCTGAGATGATGCATCCCATTGTAGAGAAGTTCAGGACCCCTGGGTGATGTGGGGGACACAGGGGTTTGGTGGATTTGAGGGGGATTGTCAGGACTTTGTACAAAGCATTGAGGACATTTTCCTGCCCACCCAGTACCACAATAATAAAAAAAAAAAAAAAAAAAAAAAAAAAAAAA